CTGTAATAATAGGATTGCAGTGGGTTGAAGAGGTCAGACCAGATAGGGTGGTGATATGCACAGATTCATTGTCCATATTACAAAGCATACAGTCAACAACTACTTGGGAAGACATTCTCATAGAACTGAATCATAGCCTGTTAAGACTGCACATAAGCGGCATAGATCTGCAGTTCTGCTGGGTGCCTGCTCATGAGGGGGGGAAAGGGAACGAGTGTGCATGAGGGGGTGAAAGGGAACGAGTGTGCTGATAAATTAGCAAAATGTGCACTACAAAAGGAAATAACTGTACCAGTTCAACTTGGAGAAGGAGAAGGAAAAGCAGTAATTGATAAGAAAGGGATGGAGATCTGGCAGAAAAGTTGGGAGAAAGACCAGAAAGGCAAGGACTATCACAAAGTACAAAAGACAATTACAATTAATATTCATAAAGAAAGAAATAGAAGGGAGGAAATCATGATGGCTAGACTCCGAATAAATCACACAGCTTTGAATAGTACGCTGTATGTCATGGGGAAAAGTGACAGTAACAAGTGTGGGAACTGTGCAGTAAAAGAAGAAGTAGAACATATCTTGTTACACTGTGACATCTATAAATCTGAAAGAGAAAAACTAAAGGATGAAGTCTAAGAGGCAGAGAGGGAGTGGAGTGTGTTTGGTGTATTGGGAACAAAAGGAGAGGGAGTAAGAGCTACCAGAAAGGCACTGTTTAAATTCTTGAGTGAAACTGGGGTCGGAAAAAGAATTTAACATTAGGTCAGGAAAGAACATAGATTTGTTTTTTGTTTTATTTATTTCATGGTTGTATTGATTTATTTATTTATTTTAATTTTATTTTGATTAGAGCATAAGTTAAAGAGTTGGAATGATGTGATGATACATACTTATGGACAGTAGGTGGCGGTATGCACCTTTTAAGTTGTTTGCAATCCGCCAAAAGCAAGAGAAGAAGAAGAAGAAGAAGAAGAAGAAGAAGAAGAAGACAGGTTTTTCACACTCCATCCAGGAGGGGCGGTATTTCAACTCCCTTGTTACTGACTGAAGCCAAATATCTCGGTGAAACACAGGGCCAGTGAAAACTTGGTTAATGTTAGCTAGTTGCTTGACAGTTTGTTGTTGTCAGCACTTTAACACATTTCCCAAATTATTTTCAAGGTTTTCCTATTATCACCCCCTTAAAAAAGTGGAGTCGTCCAACATTAAAGGTAATGTAATCCTTCGTTACTGTTTACGCCAAGGCTACTGCTATGACTGCTAATAGGTTAACCAAAACTGTCCCTTGCAAATTAGCTTCAGATAACGTTAGCTTATGTATCTTAGCCCTAGGCCCAACTGTGTCCCTTTACGATGTAAATAGTCAATAGACATTTTTTGGTCTTAATAAATTGTGAGTTACGTATGTTTGCACGAGCTAAAGCTAACTAGCTGCTATTTCGCAGCCAACCCAACGTTACTAGCGAAAGGCTACCCAGGTAAGGTAATGCTAACAGCTAGATCAAAAGCTATTTAGGCTACTTCTAATGTGTCACTCAACGCATACTGCTAACTTAAACAATATACAGCAGGTTACCTTTAGAATTATGCTACTGTAGTTCTGTTCAGTCACCTGGAATAAAGGTTTGCACACAATACCTAGTCCCTTTTTACGTTAGGAACCCTTGATCCGTCCCCTTATTTCAAGCGATGATAATTAATATGTACTACTATATGTGATATGATTAAGCGGTGACGATTGCAAGTAAAGGTTTTCACAACTATGTGATCACTTACTCTTACTTTTAGTATTGCAATAAATGGATCCTTAAGATCTGTTAAAAAAGTTCTCGTTTAGGTAAATCTCAAATGCTAAATATTTGGTTTATCAAATCTTCGAAAGTCTTTACCTCATCTTTTTAAAGCATATTTTCTTCTCTATCTATTATTTGTTGCAGGCTTTGCCATCCAGCTGCTGGTGTTACTGTGAGAATATGCAGTCCAACAGGTCTCAGTACAGTAACAGTAGGCAGTACAGTGACAGAAGTTCCAGGAATTGGGACGACTATGAGGATAAATGGGAAGAGAGGGGTGAACCACAAAGAGATAAGCTCAAGGATTCTTATCAGAAATATGGTGGACATGGTAGCAAAGAGAGGACAAGCAGAAGCACAGAGTTCAGTGATTCTCCTAAGATGATATACAGCAAAGACTGGAGCGGAAAGAGCTCAGCCAGGAGAGGGATGTCCTCACCTGAGCAGGGTGCTCCAAAAAAAAGGCGACAGTTTACAGAGGATGACAAAGATTACAGATACAGACGTGAGCCTGAAGACACAACACCCAACAGTTTTTCACGTGCACATGTAAACAAAGATTTGAAATGTACACCGTCACTGGAAGAGGATTTCAAATGCAGGAAAACACCTCAAGACTCCAAACAACGCTATCGGCACGAGGAATCCAGCTATAGGAAACAACATGACGACTGCAGACAATCTTCTGGATATTACAAAGATAGAGATGATCGTGAAAGGAGCAGAGATGGTTCACAAGAGAGGACATCTACGAAGGTTTGTCACTCAATTACATTACATGTCACTTGTTGGACGCTTTATCCAAAGCGACTTAAGGGCCTGACACACCAAATTGACACCAAAGAACACGTCCCGACGGACCCGACTGTTGTGTCGCCTCACGTCTCCTGCGTCTTGTCCAAAAAGTTGCACTGGAACACACCGCAAAGACTTCAGCCGACGGCCAAGTAGCACATGAGTAGCAATAACTCTCCTTACCAGCAGGCGGCGGTAGTCTGTATTCGTCACTCAAAAGAGGCAACCGGAAGACAGACTGCGTGATATATACAAACAACAAATAGCGTGTGTGTTCCATTTTCACTCTCGTCCATCACAGACTGTTTCACATAGCGACTTATAATCGTTTAATTCTTGCGTTCAGGTGAGATGAAAATGAAAAATAATAGCCGTCTGTGTGTGCCTAATCGTTTGTTTGCGTACCTCACTTCCGTTTCGCTTCTCATGCACTGATTCGCTAAGTGATTTGTTTTTCAGACAGCACCCTGAGGGTGTCGGTACGGCCGAAAAGACACGACGGTGCGGGACACACCAATCTGAGTAGGGCGACAGGATGCTCATCGACGGCCAAAATCGGCTTGGTGTGTCAGGGCCTTTACATACATTCAGTACTGTGGGCAATCCCCACAGGAGCAATTTGGGGTGAAGTGTCTTGCCCAGAGACACAACCTCATGCTGACTGCAGTGGGACTCTAACTTGCTCTCCGATGATCCAAAGATCAGCACACTATCCCACGGAGCAAAAGCCTCCCTGTATACATTGTATATATTCAGTGTAAGGTTTTTTGTATTATTAAAGGAAGTTTAATAGAACTTTTCTCCATATCCAACAGAGTTACGCCGCACCAGGAGAGAGGAATGACAGCCCTTCCACACACCATGAGGATTATCGTCAAACAAGGTTTCCAGTGAATGGGTCAAGTGGACAGGTGGGTACTTTTCACATGTGGCTACCTTTACCATCGGGAAGAGGTGTGATCAGATGTGCTAGGGTTAATATATAGTTTGTTCTAAATGATTTGCTAATGTTCTATTAGAAAGGAAGTGCATTCAACACACACACACTCAATTCATTCTTTTGAGTAACACTGAATGTTCACCACTGAATGGCACCTTTTAGGTTGAACGCTTCTGTTTTTGTGTAATGCATCCGTTGTAGGATTAATATATGCATTATCAGGCCATGGCGTGTGTTCACAATTTACCCCAAATAATCAAATCAACATTTTCAGTTTGTAGTACAGAGTGTTATTAAGAAGATTTTCCCTGGAAGTGGCTGCCCTAACTGGATCACTAAATACAAATATGTTCAGCTACTGAAGACTGGCCTGTTGAATCATGACATAGCCAAAGTGATTGTGTACATTCTTAGTTTCCTTATTCTCCAAAAACATATCTGCATATGAATGCAGAATTTAGAGGCAATTAAACAATATTCTTGTATAGGATGATTTCTAGGGTAGAATTGACTAACCACTTTTGAGCGGCCTTTGGTTGCATGCAGGTAAACATTCAGTGTGGAGAGCAAAAGAGGCAGAAGATAGCTTTCGTTAGCTTTTTTGTTTCATGTATTAGCATTCATATGCAGGTATCTTTGAGAAGCAACCTCATTTGTATTTCAAGACTTTAAAGCACAGAAGACAAAATCCAATATCTGCTGGTTACACCTAGGGATGGGTACCGAGCCCCGGTATTAAACGGGCCCCGGGGCTGAATTATTAAAGACCGTGGTACCGTTGAGCTCCGACGTTATTTTATAACTCCGTCTTTTTATCGGTACTGGAGACATGTAAAAAATATTTGTCATATGTATTATTGCTACACAAACATTATATTGCAGTTTTAGTCTCGCCAACTCCGTTTCTAATATGCAAAAAGAATGCAAATTGCGTCTATGATTATTTTTTGTATTTTCGATCTTTCCAATCCAGACGAGAGATCTCTCTCCCCCGCCTGTGTGCGAGGGGGCGGGGCAGTTTACACACACGCAGCTGCTACATGCAGCAACACACATACACACACGGAGGAGATGGCGGAGAAAACGCGCTCCAAGGTGTGGTTAAACTTTACCCGTCTCGATGTGGACAAGTTACCAAAAGGGCAATAAGAGTTTAGCATGTAAGAGCGGTAACACAAGTAATTTGTCTAAACATTTAGCAAAAGTGCACCACATTCAGACGGAGAAATGCACCGGGTTCGACTGTCTTTCTAGTAGCTCTGTAGCCCCATCCACGAGTAACATTTCCACGTCAGGTGTTATGTATGCTAGCAGCAACACACAGAGTTAACTCAATGATACAAATATGGGTTCATGATTAGAGGTAACTGAGTTATTTATTTTGTTGAAGTTTCAGCTATTCTGTTTACAATTCTGTTACAATTCTGTCATCAGATTATTTAATATGATTTGTTAAAACATTGTTGTTTCTTTTGATGTGAAATATTATTTATTTAATTTAAATAAAAAGCAATGTTAGTTTTGTTCACAATTTGTTTAGTTAGTTTACCTTATTTTTTCTCTCCAAAAGAACCGATAAAAGAACCGTTAAAAGACCGGACCGATAAGCGGTATCGATAAAAGTAGTAGTGCCAGTAAAACCTTAACGATACCCATCCCTAGTTACACCTGAACCCTTTTTTCTCCCTTGCCCCCGACATTACACACATTGCCTTTACAACACCTTGACAGTGCTAACACAGACTTAAACAAATCCAGCTTTTGCATTACTCTTTTGTTTTGGTCTAATTACTAAAAGTCCAGTAGCTAGTTCCCCATCGTCAGCTTGAAAGGGAACCAATCACCATGGCCAAGAACAACCCACATATTTTTCTAAAATAAAAATAAATGTAATCGAAAAAGGAAGTATTTAATTCAGTGCTGTTTGAGTTTAAATAGTAACATTTAAACATTTGTAATGACTCACAGGTTGTTCCATATACTACAAATGTGTTTGCCAAACAAAGAGTGCAGAGTTCCCTACACTGTGGTTGCTTCTGTGTTTTTCCCATCAGTCTTTTGAGAGTGAAGTCACCACCCATAGTGCTGCTGTTCCTGAGAAGTCAACCATGGGCTTCCAGCGGTTCCTGGAAGTGCTCAATAAGGGTGTGAATGTGGACACTCTCACCCAGATAGTGACTCGGAGCTCCCCAGAAGAGGATGATCGACCACAGTCTCCAACTTCTTTCACAAAAACTGATAATCCCTGGTCTCCCGGTTATGCTGGGATGCAACAGGAAAGCCACTGGAGCGAGAGAAATGGACCCCAGAGACGGACTTCTCCACTGCCTCCTCACCAGTCCTTCAGCCCAAAGAGGTGCCCTCTGTCTGATGAAGAGTCTCTGCAGAGGGGGGAATGCTCCAACAGTAGATCCAGGTCTCCCCCTGTGGTGGAAAAGATCACACTGACACCTGAAGAGGAGCACAAGCACAGGCAAATGCAGGATGTTTTGCTGGCCATCGGCATGGATTTAGGATCTGATGAACTGGGCCAGATGTCACATCGGATCCAGGAGCGCCTGTATGGAAAGAAGGACACTGACGGGAGACCCCTTCGCAGAGCAAGCAGGGAAAGGGAAACAAAGCGAGCGGTTTCACCAAGACAGCAGCAAGGCAGATCCTCATCATCAAGCAGGTCTAGTTTTAGCCCATCACTTAGGGAATATTACAACCAAAAAGACTTGTATAGTGCTCAGAGGGATAAAACGGAGGTAGACCAAGTACAGGCGCAAGAAGCTGTTGTTTATGCACAAAATAGCGACAGTAGCGCTTTACAGCAGAGTGAGAAATGTCAAACGTACTCTCAGGACAGCAACGCTGCATGTCAACCGATTCCTCAAAATCCTGCATACAATTATCCACCCCCGACGCCTGTTATGCCGATGTACCCCCCAGTTAACAGTTCCCCGCTTCCGTACCCGGCTCTTCCTCCCAACATGCCCCACTTCAGACCTGGACTATTCATGCCTCGCCCGCCTCCCTTCTTCCCTTACCCCAGTGTCCCACCTATGAACATCTTTCCAGGAGTACTCCCTCAAATGAGGCACCTACTCCCACAGAATATGGGTAATCCGTCCTATTTTAACACATTTCAGCCTCTGAACATAGCACAGAGAAAAACAATCACAAGGACCCGATGTCTGCAGGTCATTGATACCAAACAACTTGGATAAAGCAACTTGTGGAAATCCGACTGACTGATTATATATTCTAATATAAATCTTTTTGACTCTGGAAAACAGCAAAAGATCTTGATAAAATAAATCAGTTGGACTGTCATGGACTTCTGTTTTTGACCACAAAAGACATTTGAGAATATCCTCAGAGAAAATTAACATAAAAAAGCAACACAGTCAATGACATTAACACACCACAAGTTAACTGAAAATACTTTTTTGAACTTTGTCCATCTTTGTCTGTTCTTATACCCTTAGTACAATGTCATGCTGAAGAAAAATACTGTGTGAAATAGATTTTTGAAAATGCTGCATTCTTGATTTATGAATACATTTTAGTTTTAATACCAAGATTTATTACATTGTAATTTTTGTTAATTCTTGTCCTATTGAAATGGCACCGTAAAACGGTGTTTAGTCTTCAGAGGGATTTGGCCGAGTCACGACTACATAACATGCTCTACTCTTAAGCTTCAATGTTGTTGAAGATGAGATGTTTCCTTTATGTGTTCATATGCAGAAAATGATCCTGTACATATTTGTATAGCAAAACATTAAACACGGTGATTATAAGTAAATGGCTACGAGATGTTTAATTGCACTATATTGTGAAGAAGAAGCAGGTTAATCACAAATCGCTTCTATTATCTGCGTATACAGTATAGTTTGTATGGATACCATGCTTGGAAATGTGTGGATTTGTTCACTTCATCTAACATCTGTTCAGCTGGAACTCTGTGGAAGATCACATTAGGACTATTGATTCTGTGAAATATGTATTTTTATTGAAAATTGTATTGTGTTAATTATTGACTCCATAAAAAGATTGATGCTATTGGTTTGCCGTAATTCTGACAAATTTCAAAATATTAAATTACTGACTGACAGGTGAATGCAGAGCTCCTGAAAATGTCCTTTAAAAATCATCTAATAATTTAAGAACTTACATGGCACTGCAAGCCAGCAGGATAAAGTCAACTATTGCTCTTCACAATCACAAGCCAGGAACATTATAACACTAAGTAGATGCAAGACTGCTGAAGAATAGATAAATAAAACCGATTGATTTGTTTTCTTCATTAAACATTTGTTTAAAACCCTTTCACGCATTGAGGTCACTACAGTGGACAGCTTTGCAAAAGGTGTTTTCTTGTGTGTGCATGGGTTTTGATGGCATAGTTGCATCATCAGCCACTAACTGCTACTCAGTGGAAAGCCAGTGCAAGTGAATGATAAATGTCTCTAAACCAAGATGAACGACAGAAAGCCACATGGACCAAGTCACCTGCCAATATCCTGCCAATCCTTTCATGGAAAGCGCTCCCTGCCGGTATAAAACATTTGGTGACGTCAAGTAACAACTAAGGAATCATATAATTCATAAATTGTCAAAGTATTGATTTTATGTTTGCATGAAATCATGATTATTCGCCTGTCCACTAAAGTGGACGTCATGCATCACTGGCTGTATTTCAACTAAAATTCATACTGTTCTCCTTGAAAATACTTCATTTGCAATATCTTTTTGGGCCTTAAATATATATACTTAAAGGTGGGGTAGGTAAGTTTGAGAAACCGGCTCGAGATACAGTTTTTGTTATATTCCATGGAATGCTCTTAACATCCCGATAGCAATGAATATCTTAAGTGCTTTCACAACAAATCCATAAAAAAATGTCATCTGTGGAAGCGTAGTACTGTAAAAAGCACGACCAATCATTTTAGCCGGCCCGGCTAAAATAACTGGATGGGCTACCTGCCTGTCAGCCTTCCATCTGTGCACAAACTTATCTCGTGCCCTCATTGGTCATGTGCGCGTTCGTGTGTGCTCGAGCTGGTTTCTACAAAATTACCTACCCCACCTTTAAGTTATTATAATGTAATTTTAAGTTTGCACATCTTTATTTATAATTTTTTCGAAATTTACAAGTTTTCAGTTTAGACTTTAACGCATACTGTCCACCTGAGTGGACATATAAAACATTTTTTTTCTAAATTTGAAAAAAATAAAGTTAAAATCTTGTTTTTAATGCCCCAAGAGCAATAAAAACCCTTTGTAAAAAAATCCTGAGTGAGGCTTTCATAATTCGTGCATGAAAGGGTTAAAAAGGTTTGGCAAACATTGACTAAACTGTCCTGAGGCCAATGAGTATCACATTTTTGTCAAAGTTTAGTGGAATACGAGAGGTGCAGTTGGTACTCCGCCCTGTGGGTGATGCTGTTAGTACCAACATTTCACACCACCGAAGCACTGAGCAATGCATTCTTGGCCAATTTTTTTTAACATTAACGGTTACCCCTCGCTTTTTTCGGAAGCCAACTAAAGGTCCCTATTGGCATATCAGTATTCAATAATTACATTTTTTATGTAACAGCCTTGAAAAAACAAAACCTCCACTATGCGACAGAGGAAGGTGGTAGTTTGAGACGCTGTAGCAGGTAAGCAGTCTGGTAGATGCTAAGCTAGCTGCTAAGCTATCCGACTAAAAACTGAATTTAACGCTAAGTCAGTCAGTTTTGATGTCAGTTCTGTCCTAAATTTGCAAAGTGACTTAAGTACAGCATGTCACCGTGGAATACAGGTTGGTTTATCCAAAGCCAGGCTTTGCCTTTCCTCACAATTAGTAAGTATGTAAGCCAAAGTAATCTTTGTAAACGCAGCGTTGTGTCAACAGTGACGAGAGGGGGGCTTCTCCAAAAGACAGTTGGTCTTTTTTTTTCCTCAGTGCTGTCAGTACAGTAACAGTCTACAAGGCTGGTCTGTTTCTTCGAATGTAATGTTTCCACATTTGTTCTACTTTACAGAGTGCATTGACTACATACATCTTAAGTGAGGCAGGCTGAAGGATGGATCCAATCGACTGGGATGCCATACGAGCAATCCAGATAAATCTGCACCCAAATCAACAAAATGACATAAATAACAGCATTGAGAATGCCCCAAGAACTAATATTGAGTGGGACGCTTACTGTGAATACTCAAGACCCACTGTTTGTGAAGCACACAGCAGCATGAGAGTGAATGTGGAACACGAGCGACTGAGTCCTTCTTTTCATAACGTTTATATTAAAGACTCAGAAGTCCAGGACCCAGACGGAGAACCGCTTCCATCGGATGAAGAAGATCCAGAGCTGTCAAGAAAGAGGAAAGAGCTTAGAGAGATAGAGGAGCGGATAATATTTAAGAAAGCTGCCATTGCTCTGAAAGCAGTTGAACCAACACTGCCAAACGTTTCCAGTAATGCAGCTACATGCAAAGGTGCAACTCTTAAAGAAAGGGTGAATGTCATTTTGCAGAAAATAAATCCTGCCAGATTTAACTCAATGGTAAGTAAGTTTTCTTAATGGTTAGATAATCCTTTGTTTAATATTTTTTTAACGTTGGGTTTCTTACCAATTTGCAACTGTGTTCCACAAATTAAACTGTATGCTGTACTGCTTTATTGTTTTTCAGTTTTGGTCGCACAGAGAGCGAATGCACTCATCCAGGCTGAGCAAAGATAGTCTCCTGCAGAACAACCATCCCCTGAAGCTCAGAGTGAAGGCGCTAATGAAGAGGAGATGCAGTGATCCAGCACGCACAGAGGTTTGTACCACTTTTTGCCCCTTAATTTGTAGAAAAAGTATATCAATATATACAAAAAAACAAGAAAAGACATTAATAATGATGGTAATCATCAATATTTATCTAGCCATCTAGGTTCTATCTATAGCTACTTATCCTTTAACCTTTCCGTAACCTTAAAGGTAAATTACACCTTCTTTTTTGAATATACTCATCACTTGTAATGTTGAAATAATATTGCAATTATTATTGCAATATAGGTTGTTTTTTTTAAAAGCCACCTAGACCATCAAAATGTGCGTAACTCCATCCATTATCGTGTTTATTTACAGCGCTGAACTGATAAATCAGCTGGCTATTATTAGCTTAATGCAGATTTATTGGAATCAGATTTGATAACAAGACATTTCAGCACAGGAATCCCATGAACCTTAAATCAATCTCAGTGCCATTTTTCATATCGATGTCTTTTATTGGAATAAGCACCCTGGTCACACTGATTTTAAAGTCCATTTGCAATTTGATCAGGTCGGACCTAAAAACATAGATGTATAACTGTTAAAATGGCTGTATTTAATTCCCTGAAGTAGAGAGCGCAGAAATGTACTCTATTAAAATTAATAAACTCAATTGTCAACGACTTTTAGAACTTTAGAAGTTCCAATCACAAAAAAAGTAATGTGGTTGCCATAACTTTTTGTTTCTCCTGAAATAAGGTTTTAAAAAAAAATAAATGTTTTTGAATATCTTTCCTTTCCTCAGTGCGGTGAAACCCCACCGTCTCCCCCCAGTCGAAGCTTTACCTCACCAGCCAAGGAGGAGACTATCGTCAACGAAGGTTTCCAGCGCTTCCTCAGCGTGCTCAACAAAGGAGTGGACATAGACCTCCTCAGCAGGATTGTCAACGATGATGATGAAGATCTCCCTTCAGGCGAGCAGCTCCTAACCACTCAGCCCCCTGCAGGAGAGAAAGAGCCACATCCATCTTTCAGGAGCGAGGGCCAGCGATCAAACAGTGAAGCCTCGCTTCCCGGCTTCAGTCAGACCAACAGAGGCCACGACACCTTTTGCATACCGGGCGATGATGAAAGTAGGAATCAAGGAGGAGAAAGCAAGTTTGGTTCTAGCATACGATCAAAGTCACCTGTTTCAGTTGTGAAGAAGAAGGAAGAAGAAGATAAACCAAAGGTGGATGTGCAGCGTGAACAGCTTCAGAATATTCTTAAAACTCTGGGGTTGAACCTGGAAGTGGAAGGGATGAGCAAACTAGAAGATCGGACTCAGGAGAGACTATACGGGAAGAAGAATGAAGACACAAATGTAGAAGGATGTAGAGGAGTGCAGGAGAGTCAGCAGAGTGGCCCCCAGAGACATTTCAGTAACTCCTCAAGGTCCACCAAGTCTAGAAGCTTAAGTCCCAGCCTCCCAATGCGTCAGTGCTCCCCCAGTAGAAACCTGGAACGAAAGTCTGAACAGACTTATTCGAGAGAGAGGAGAGACAGGATTATAGACAATAGCAGAGACAGAAGCAGAGACAGATTTAGAGACAGGATTATAGACAGAAGCAGAGACAGGATTATTGACAGAAGCAGAGACAGAAGCAGAGACAGGATTATAGACAGAAGCAGAGACAGAAGCAGAGACAGGATTATAGACAGAAGCAGAGACAGGATTATTGACAGAAGCAGAGACAGGATTAGAGACAATAGCAAAAACAGAATTGGAGACAGAAGCAGAGAAATTGTTATAGACAGAAGCAGAGATGGAAGCAGAAACAGTCTTACACAAAACCAAACCAACCCCCATCCCAAACCGGATAATTGTTCTACATTTCCACAATACAGTTTGTCCGAGGACTCACAGTACACTGCCTACGATAAAGGCACTTACAGCTCTGCCACAAATACTTACTGGGGACAGACGCAGGTGTCTGTTCCTCCCTCCCTATACCCCGGTGAGGGTCCTTACCCCCTAAACCCTTACCATAACTTTCCTGATTCTGTGGGGGAACCTCACATGGTTAACCCCTATCACAACCCCCTTGACACAAACTTTTTTGTAAATCCAGACTTGTCTACGAGTGAAGGCCAAGTTGCATCTTTTTCCAGGAATCGCTGCCTGCAGGCCATCGACAGTACGCAGCAGTGTGTAATGAAAAAGAACACCACAAAGAAAACCACAAAGAGTTATAAGAAGAAGTTGAGTGCAAGGAAAATCAGGAAGGTTCAATACTGGGAGAATGTAATAGCGAAACATGAACAAAAAAAGATATTATCCGAAGTGCCTAAGGCAGAGGCTGAGGTGGACCCTCCACCTTTGCCACCGAAGTTGCAGGAAAATAACATTGAACATGTGACCCAACCCGAGCCAATACACAAGGAGAAACGGCAGCTAACAGAGGAGGAAGTCAAAGCGAACCTGAGGAAAACGGTTGGTGGAGTGTTGGTTACATTAGCTTCCTAATCCATGTCATTTCAGGAGGTCATGTTATGGAGGTTTGATCCCACTTGGATGGGATTTCAGTTTATCATGCCGAAAAGTTAGGCTACCAGCTTAGCTAAGTTTAATTTGTGGATCAGGGCAAGTATTTATCTAGTGTCACAGAAGAAAAAAAATCACTCTTAACTGACATTTGATCAACTTTCTTAAAGCTACAGTAGGTAACTTTATAAAAAGTATACTTATATTTGTTAAATCTTTATCGTGACAGTAGTGAATGAGACAGATATGTGAAAACATAATCCTATACTGCTTCAATGATCTTTAATTTGAAGATTACACAATGCAGAAGAAAAGCGACCGATCAGAGCAGTCTCTAACACACTGTCAATCACTGCTGCATGAACTCCGATCATCAAACTAAGCAGCACTGTGACTGTCACTAAATATGAATATAGATTCTGTTACTGCATTGACTATTTCTCGTTTCTATTGTTTTCAGAAATATTTTTGTTAAGCTGTAAAATTAAAGTTTGCACGGGTTGGTACTTGGTTTTAGCGCAACTGGTCACCGCTGGTATTAAAACCAGGGGGGTGGTGAAAAAAACAAAAAAAACAACGCGTGAATTTTAACAACATGTTTATTTATTGACTACTACCCACAAACATATGGAAATGGGTTACTATTTAAACAAATAAATGTATTTATAAATGTATTTAGGAACCTATCCATGTCATGTTAAGTGGGGGTCGACCTAAAATCCTCTAGGGGGGTCCGGGGGCATGCTCCCCCGGTAAGATTTCTTTTTTAATTTTGGAGTTAAATGCATCAATCTGGTGCATTTTGAGGGGAAAATAAAGAGACTCTATGGAAACACCTATATTAAGCAGAACTGTATACGATTTCAATAATCATAAAATCATGGCAATAACCAATAACATCCCATTTCCAATATGAAAAAACACTGAAACTTGTTTATTTATTTATTTTTGGTTCATTTATAGTTGAGTGTGTATGTGCTCCTGAATCAGCCTCTCCTGTCTCCCCCCTCTCCTGTCTCCCTCCTCTCCCCCCTCTCCAGTCTCCCTCCTCTCCCCCTGCTCCTCTCCCCCTGCTCCTCTCCTCCCTTCTCCTTTGAGGCAGCAGCAAAGACTAGTTTTAGCTCTCAACAAGTTTTAAAAGTGTATCTTACCTTTTTTCACCTAGTTAACTTTTTATTTATTTATTCATGCATATTTTACTAATCACATTACATTTAATTTAGCTGACGCTTTAATCCAAAGCGACTTATAATGACCGATTACAGGGACATTCACCCTGGAGTAACTAAGGGCTAAGTGCCTTACTCAAGGGCGCACTAGTGGTGGTGTTCCTGGCGGGATTAGAACTCACAGCCTTCCGATCTTCAACCCACCTCACTATCCATTAGACCAATCACTACCCTCTCTAATGGAAATATGTGTTTACATAAATCCCGAGCTTGAATGACACACAGAGACCATCAAGGGCTTTGATTTATCATCTGTATGACAGTGGCCATGTGCCATGTCGTGCCATGTCGGCAAGCCACATCATGTGGACAGCCAGTCACCCTGTGTGAGGCTGGCCACTTAACAGGCCAGAAGGAGGCGAGATCAGAGCAAGGGAGAGAGGGATCATTGTCCACAAGTTAATCGATCGCAGATGGCGTCGTGGTCACGGACGAATACAAAAAAAATTATTTAAAAAAAAAACTAAATGGGTCGCGAAATATACTTGGGCGGCCGTTAATATACCTGGGCGGCCCGCCCAAGTATAGTCTATGTGTGGGAAACCCTGGAGCAGCATGTCAGACATCTATACCCTTTAGCAATTTACAATTTAATA